AAATTTTATTTATATTCATAAATCATAATTATATAATTGTATATAAACTTAGTACTTACATCAATATGTGTATAAGCTCAGTTATTTTATAAATAAAAACTAAGCTAAATTTATATTATAGGATATAAAAACTTGTAAGTTTGTACTATAGAAAAAATAATCGATTTAAGAGACAATTCTACTTCCTAGTTATTATCTATCTGTACTTTGATTGGTCCGATAATAAGATTATATAGAGCATTACACGCGTTGTTTTCAGAGATATGCAATTTAATAATTATTAATTATTAGTATACGTTTTGGACTCTGTTTCTCCCTATTTATTACTCCAATTAGGACGTCTCTATATGAGATATAGTTTGTTTAGCTTTTTGGAATCATTTGATAAAATGTATATATCCACTCAGACTCCTGAACCCTCTCATTAATTTTGGATTCGTCGTCGTCGTTAGTGCATTTCATCGAATATGTGTATTATACATTTATACGTAATATGTATGTTATAGTGTAGCAGAAATTATAGCACGCGCAGAAAGTTAAATAGTAGACACTTTTGGATAACCTGCAGTTGAATATTCGATGTGCATAAAGAAGTGACTACAAGAAGGGGGAGGGGGTTAAAAGTAAAAAATATAGTTCTATAACTGTATAACTGTATATAATATTATTATTTTGACTATGCGTAAGTATTTAAAAATGTAAATAACTTTTATTTTAGTTCATCCTGGGCGCTAAGCAATATGCATCCGTTATACAATTTTTTTTAAGTGGTCCAAAAACTAAATTTTTTTCAATATAATATAGACTTCGGACCACTATTTAAAGATGGATTATAATATATATTCGTGATCCTTGATCGTATGTATGTGTTATGATGATGATATGTATTTTCGTATAATAATAATTAATAATATACATACCAGTACAGGACGGTGGTTCGTCCGACCTGTCGGGACAGTCGTACTTTCCGTCGCAGTACTCGTCCAGTTGAACACACTGGCCGGTCGACTTGCACATGAATTCGGATATGCGGCAGGACTCCGCCGGCTTGACGATGACAGTCCAGCCGATCAACAGCGTCAGTCCGCTTATTACGGCCACCAAACGATTCGTCATATCTATTGCCGTAGTTATATTTTCTGATAGTGAAGGCAACGTCGATGCGATGATATGCTAAAAATATCTGCAAAAAAAAAAAACACAAAAAATTGCACGTGAGTATTAACGGACGGAGACGGAAGACGGCGGATGCGTCGACTATTGCAGTATATAAACGTAACAGTAGCGCCCTGGCCTTCATTGACACTCTAAGGCGRSYCCTATAGCTATTTCGAAACCCTTTCAAACATAAATATTTCAATATTAACTGCCTTTTAAGATGCAACAATTTTTACCACCCAAGGGCATTTGCCTCATTTTCCACTTCCTTGGAAAGRCTCCGTATATGGTATATTTATATATAGGGTGGTAATGCGACTTCAACTCTTTAATTTGTCTTATAATAACTATACMAAAGCGTTAGTGCCCAGTKATGTATAAGATTCTGGATACAGTTAGATAAGTAGGTTGGAAAAATTAATGTTCGTGGTCTATACATAAATAAACGCTCGATCGTAGTCGGTATGTGCAGGCATTATATATACATAGATATTAGGTATACTATTTGCATACATAATATCTAGATAAGTGAAAATACAACAATTAATATAATATAGGTATATTCGCAGGTTCTCGCCACGTTGGCCAATGTACTTTTCCCGACTGTTGGCTTTGAAATTTGGTTTTGAAAAAYGATTACGGCAGYATTATTGTGTCGGATATAGACACGCGATTCAAACGATTGGTTCTAAACGAACGGGCGGAAATATTTTGGTTTACCTAATTGATTTACCACTGCAACGCAGTCAATCGATTATTACATCACTCATTTCGCGTCACTTCGTTAAAAGTATTCACAAGCAAAATTGAAACGAAAATATTATGAAAAATTTCCGAAAATCTTTATCGTAAATAACGTCGGTTTTCATTTCAGCCGTTGTAGGCCCGCGAGTCTTGCAACCTATAAATTATATACATATTATAGTATACAGGTGTCATAAAACGCGCGTGTTTGTCTTCGTGACAAAAGGAAATCATTAATATTATTGTTGTAGTTGTCGTCGTCGTTTTCGTTGACGTTACATTGTACAATACCGCTGCGGAAAATTCTGTACAGGGAAATTCTGCACCAGGAAACTCACGCCCGGAGCCACTTCTCCTCGCCATGCCAACAGCGACAAACATGTCGAGCAGCAATACGCCAAGCATAAATATTTAATACAATATATCACAAAGCAATATATTTATAGTKCGTTCTCGTATATGCAACATTAATAGTAACGTATTATGATGATATACAGAGCGCATATTCACCGAGCAGCCTTGTTGATCACCTCCRTTTTTCCAATTTAACAATGAATTTATTCAAGTTATGATTTTTGAATTTTTTAACTACCTATACCTAGATACTTGAAGACCACATTTTAAAATTATTACCTACATATTATATCCCATTTAAAAAGTGTCCTATAGCGGTAAAAAATTATTTTTGTCTAATAAGGCTCCCGCTTTTTCCAAGTGTATTATTATAATTAGACGGCTCCTAACCTATCTAAATAATTTAAATTCAAACAAGTAGTTTTTGAGTTATTAACATTGTGTTCCAAGGACAATTGCAGGTGCACGGTCATGCGTTTGAAAGTTATGGGGGCTACAATAATTATTTGAGTATTTGAGTATAATGTTTTAGTGGGTAATAAATATAAATCGATCCATCAACATTTTATGAAATTTCATGAAAATCTTCCGAGTAAACTCCTTAAATGGTACAAAAATCTGAATAGTCAATTACCCAATGTGCAGGGTTCTTAAATAAACTATCTACTGAGTATCTAGAAATAGTAGGTATATACTTAAAAGTTCCGAGAATAATACTTAAAAATAAATTCTTCACTCAAGTGGTGATGCGTGGCAATCGTCCTGTATACATTCATGAATGTCATGTTGGAAACTGTAGTAAATCCGAGCACTTAAACCGTATATTATTCGTGCCTAGCATATACTTTGTAATAAACGTTCGTATAGGACAATGCTGCGTCCTGCAGAGTCACTGTGTATATAATTTATAGGAATGCGGTGCGATGTCGGTATATATATATATA